CCCCCGTTCCCTCCTCCTCTCCTCCGTTCGCTCCTCCCCTCCTCTGGGCGCTGCTCCGCCCGCGGCCCCTCCATGACGCAGTTCCGTGGGACGCTCTGAGGCACGTCCGGGCGGGCGGATTTGAAATTGCGAGCGGGCGGCGGCGCTGGCGGTAAGGGCAGGGCGAGGAGCGGGAGTGGAGCGGCAGCAACACCAACACCCACACCCTCAAGCACCGGGACAAATGTCCGTGCGGCGGCGGTGGTAGTGGTGGTGAGTCCCGGGCTGGCCTCTTTGCTGAGTGCCCCGGTCGCCCTCGGTACGGCTTAGACGCGCTCTCAGGGCGAGAGGGCGGAGCTGCGCCCGGCTCTGCCGCGCTCCTGCGCTCTTTTTTTATCCTGCTGGCGTGCTGGCTCTGGCAAACTGCTCTTCCATCTCTGCTGCAGCTCTGCTCTTACAGCGGGCTGGCTAATGGCAGCAGCAGCGTGGCCAGCAGGAGCAGGGTAGTGACAATCCTGGTACGCGGCGCTGGTGAGGCCGCGCCTCAGTGCTGTGTCCAGTTCTGGGCCCCTCAGTTCAAGGACACTGAGGGGCTGGAGCGTGTCCAGAGAAGGGCAGCGGAGCTGGGGAAGGCTCTGGAGCACAAGTCCCATGCGAAGTGGCTGAGGGAGCTGGGGTTGTTGAGCCTCATGAAAAGGCTTATAATTCTGGAAACACATGAGAGGAGGCTGTAGCCAGATGGGGGTCGGCCTCTTCTCCCAGGCAACGAGCGACAGGACACGGGCTCAAACTGTGCCAGGCTTTGGTGGGACAGCTGGAGGAATTGCTCCACAGAAAAGGCGATTGTACACTGGAATGGCCTGCTGTCGTGAATGAGGGTGAGCTTGCTTAAGCAATCACCACACCTGCCCAGCATGATGGTGGAGTCAGTGTCCCTGGAGGTGTTTAAGGAAAGGCTGGATGTAGCACTTAGAGCTATGGTCTAGCTTACAATTGGTGATTGCTCATAAGTTGGACTAGAGGATCTCACAGGTCTTTTCCAGCCTAATTGATTCTGTTATACTAGAAGCGAATCACTTGCTATGTTTGTGAAAATTCAATCTCTTTGTGGTCGGTCCCAGTTAAAATAATGGAATAATGCAGCTTCTTCCCCAGACAGAGTGAACTCATGAATATGCTGCCCTATGAATTGAGCTTGAGAGCTAGACTTCTGTTGTGGTTTGTGAGCAGTGTAACTGGAAGTAAAATGAAGCAACAGTTTATACTAATAATGTGTTTTGGTAATGTAGTGGAGGGGGCTTTTATTAATTATAATTCAGTCATTTAAGCCTATCCCACAAATGAGATACACTTTCTGCCCTCTACAGAGGTTCTAACTTTTCTCTAAAAAATCCTTTTTCTGTTTCTCTGATTCTACTGCATTTCTTCTGTATTTTCCTCTCTCTTCCTGGATTTCTCAGCCTCCTTTGGACTGAATTCTTTTGGGATCCTCCCTCATGGGAAGCTCTGCTTATCTCAGTTCTTGTGATTTGATGAGAACTCCCCAGCTCGTTAGAATCTTGTTTCTCGTGTTTATTAACAGGTCAACACAAAGCTTGGCAGGTCTCTCCAGACTGACTGCACAAGGTTATATCTTTGCAATCTGGTACATTTCTTTCTTCTGGTGGTACAACAAGGCCTTGTGGCTCATCCCGTGCCCGACAGCACAAAATGGCCCTGAACTACACAGTTCTTTTATCTTTAGACCTATTTTTACCCAATTAACAATAGACACGTATATTATTTTTCTTAATGATCCAATGACCCTTCACCTTTGTGCTACACTGCGGCATTTTCTGTCCAATCACTTACTGTTACCCAAAAACCTCCAGGAGAAGAACATGAAGAAGAAAGAAGGGACAAGAGACAACACCCTAAATCCTTCATCTTGCCTTCTGCTCTCTAAACTAACTTTTTCACCCAGTGATTTAAGAAAACTTTCTAATCTACACACTTACACTTTTCGCTTTTTCTATCTAATTTTAACAGCTGTTTTCATGTATCACTATGAAAACATGCTCATGAATTTCATGTTATATGAAATTCAGTGTTTTTCTGGATCTTAGAACTAAGTATCAGAAACAAGGGTACACACTTTGTATCCCAGACTCCAACAGAAAGCTGGCATTTTTTTCCTGAATTAATTCTGTTTACTTCAAATTCCACCTTAATGCCACTGTGGGGACAATGGTATTAATATTCTAGTTTGATTTATATCTGCATGCATAGTCTGAAGACAGCCATAATATTACCTCAGAACAGGTTTTCCAGTTATTATGCTATGATGCTGGGGGATCAGTTGCAAATTAATTGGTAGGCTCAGACTGAGCAGCTCAGGAGCTGATGTATTGCTGAAGTGCTGCAAGCAGTACTTGTGTACTCGTGGTAGTGTGGCCTTTTTCCCAGTGGACTGAACTGAAAAATTTCTCAAGCTCTTTTGCTTTTGGAACCTGGGGCTTTGAAGTGACCAAATAGAAAGGCAAAACAGTAGGTTTGGAGTAACCACTGACTCTTTCATCAATAAAACAGTTGATTTAAAAGACTGTGGCTGCTCTTACATATTTCTGGAGTCTAACGTAATCAATCTTTTTTTTGATCCAATGTACAGGTCTACTTCTTTATTCTGAGCTTTTGGGAAATCATTGTGGCATTTAGAACACAAAATACCCTTAGACCCTGTATTTTCTGACACTGCTGGAACACTGAGGGATTTACAGCAGTCACAATGAGGCGAAGCTCAAGTATTGCTGGAAGCAGCAGCCGACAATCTATGATGGCACTGAGAGTGGAGGACAGCAACAAGATGGGTCTTCAAACACCTCAGATGTAAGTTTTGCCTGTCAGATTGCTAAAAATAATTATATAAAACTAATTCTGAAGAGATTTATCATAGTGTGTGTGAGTAGCAACTGAGAAAATAAACTGAAACAGTGAGAAGTCTCCTTACAGCCAAGGGTGTTTGCACAAGTGCTCCAGTTTTGCAACAATACTTGCTTTAACCTTTTTGTATACCTGTGTCACCTTTCAAATGGTAACCCTTTGTTACGTGTTGCTTAGGAGATGGCTGGGTGCATGAGCTGACCTTTCTAAGATGTTGCTGTGATGAAGGTGTTTAGGAATATATGAGTGCATGTATAGTTCTTGTAAAAGCAAGAGATGAATTGGTAGAAACAGTCACTTGAATCCTTCTCTCTATTCCTAAGGAAGGACAGAAGCACCCTTGGGAAGCTGAGCATGAGCAAACCTACATCTGGAGCTTCAGAAGGAAAAGCCAGCTGTTCTGGGAACAGGTATGTATAGGTTTTGTTCTCTGCACTATATATTAAAACAAAAATGGTCCTATATAATTTTGGAATTTTTCTTTCTTGACCGGTTTTCGTTATAGGGAATAATGGATCCGAGGCAAGCAGACCTGCAGGTCCTCCTGCCTTCCTCCAGTCCTTGATCAATAAACAATAATGCTGTGGAGCAGGAATTGCTTTGGGAGCTTTTTTTTTTCTTTTGGGAATGACGTGCACTGCAGACCTTAAGAGTATCTCATTACATTTTTTTTGTTTAAGGAAGAATGACATCTAAAGTATACTCTGCATTAATTTCTTCTCTCTGAGGTACTAACCTTCCAAAAATCTAAAATCTTTCTGCTTAGCTCATGACTTTCTGTGTTGTGGGTATCTTCTTTCATAGGACCCCCAGTGCTGCAGGGGTCTATTCCTTTTAAATAGTCCTTAAATATTTTGGTCTTTATTCACAGTCACCAACATGATTTCTTCATCTTTGGGTTTGTTTTCTGCTCTCTAAGAGTTTATTTCTTTCAATAAAATGATGACATTATTCATCTAGGATGCAGTAATCCCTTTGTTGCACACGTGGCATTGTGGCTTCCACGTCGATGATGTTTATCCAATCACCTTAAATGAAGAGAAAACTTCAAGTATCACTTTGTATAACAAATGCAAAGAAAATATCAACATAGCATTTGTGCTGTTACTTAAACATGAAGAGTGTTCTCCTTTCTATGTATTGTCACAAGACCTGTGTTTACTGTCTGTCCTTAGAGCGAGTGGGGCTGGAGGGTCCCGCAGCAGCCAGCATGGTGTGTTTGGGACAGAAAAGATAAAGGATCCCAGACCCCTTCATGACAAAACATTCATCCAACAATGTATCAAGAAGCTTTATGAGGTAACATATTAACTCCTTCTGCACTTATGTTATGAGGTGTAAAATATATTAATCAGAAGGGTCCTTTCTCTTGGTTTCAACTCTTAAGCTTTATTTAGTGACTGGTATTCTGTGTTTCTTTTGCACAGTTCCTCCTTGAGAATGCTTATGGGCACAATGTTTCCATGAAATCTCTACAATCTCCATCAGTTAAGGACTTTTTAAAGATCTTCACCTTTATCTATAGATTCCTCTGCCCTTCTTATGAACTGCCTGACTCAAAATTTGAGGAGGAAATTCCCAAAGTTTTTAAAGACCTTGGGTAAGATGATTATTGTTATTCTCCTGGGCTGAATAGATATGATATGGCTAGAAATTTAAAAGCTAAGAATTCCACATTGATAGTTGGGGAGAATGGATAGGCTTTTTAATTCAGATGAGACTCTAAAAGTACAATGTTGTGATAGTTTTGTTTCACTTTTGTTTAGCTCTAGATTTACTTGCTGATTTTCAGAGTCTACTACACATTTTATATTTAAACCTGCAGAGCTATAAGCTCTTGGAATCTTGCTTTGTAACATTAAATTTAATTGATTATTTGTATAAAAATTTGAAAGATAGGACAGAATTCTTCTTGACAAACCTTTCTGTTCATTCTGTTAGAGTCTAACAACTAAAATTTCCAGAATTTTTGGATCAAGTCAATTTAGTTTAAAACATATTTTCCTGCAATTACACTTATTCTGCTTTGAAAGCAGAATGTGGAAATAACGAAAATTACTGTTGAGGTGATAAAACGCTAAGTAGCTGAGTGGTTTATTGCTGAATTTGTTCAGTGTTTGAAATTATTAATGCCCCAACACTTTCCCAGAAAGAAAACCCTCTGCCTATTGTTAATTGTGAATTTTCAATCTCATTAAAAAAAAAAAAGTCTATTTTACTCCTGTAGATTTGAACCCATGATGGTGTGAAAGTGCCAGGGCTCCTTAAATGTAGGTGTAAATCTGGTTTTTTCACTTCTCAGCATTTTAATAAAATTTTGTTTTAATCTGTAACACTTGAAACTGCTGACCTAGCGTTGAAAAGGATTACACTCTGCTGCACCAAGAGTGTAATTTTGGATAAAATTACTAATTCTGACAACTCACTTGAGGTTGTCTTTTGGGAGCATCTGGATGACACTCTTGATCATACGGCTTAGTTGTAGGCAGTCCGATGAGGAGCAGGGAGTTGAGTTTGTTGATCCTTAGCGATCTTTTTCAAATCAAGATATTCTACGAATCACAAAATGAGAAACCCACAATAATTGAATAAAATAGTGCTGTAAGAACTTAATTTCCTTTGAAGTACAGTATCAAGTGCAATTGAGTTTCTTCCTTCTGTGCTTTCATCCACATATAAAAATGTGCTGCTTTATTTCCCAAATATGCTGGTTTGTTTTGGTCACAGCTATTAAAAATGTATCTTCTTTGGCCTTATAGGTACCCCTTTGCACTGTCAAAAAGCTCCATGCGTACCGTGGGTGCACCACACACCTGGCCTCAGATTGTGGCAGCTTTAGTTTGGTTAATTGATTGTGTCAAGGTAACATTAAACAAATCTCTTTAACATATAGGTAAAGAAAAAGTTGGGTGTTCTTAGCTGTAATCTGGGAGCTGACCCTCAGCCTTACGTTTTAGTAACTTTTAAAGTGAGCTTTTCATGTTATATTGTGATATCTTTTTTCTTTAAATGTATGCACTGGATAAACTAAAGTATAAAAAAAAGGTGGGGAAAAACTGACTTATGCATACATTAAACATGAGAAGTTAATGGGTACAATCATTGAATAGAACATCTATCTTCAGTGCAAATGTTGTGACAGCTACCATTCCCTCCTAAATTTGAAGTCTAATTTTCAACTGAAATTATTCAAATGTCCTGTAATTCTTATACAGAGTGGCAAGTTTTGTGTTTGGGTGGGGTGTTTTGATTTAATTTTGGTTTTATTTGAGTTTTTTCGTTGTGTTAATTGTTGTTGCTGCCAGCTCAGGTCTGAGCAAAATTTGGAATCTGTGACAGAAGTTCACCATTGCTGACCTAAGCACCCATGAAAATCCTATCCTTTTTTGCTGAGAAGACACAAGACAATTTGGCAGTGTTGACTGTCCAGTTCATGCCTCTTTACCTGCGTGTTTAGTCAATTCAACACAGGCTCATTCCAACCTGCTTGCTGAAATCCTAATCCAGTGTTACTTTGCTTCTTATGAAACCAATATGAAAACGAATGGATGTCTCCACGTTTGCTCTTTGTGTGTGCACCTCTGCTTTTCAGCTGTACCATGCATTCAGGGAAAACCCACCATCGTATGATGATGGACAGGCCTGGGGAGGAGAGACAGATGATGGAATTGTACATCATAAGGTACCATAAAAAGGGAATTAGAATCAGAATTGCTCAACTGAATTTTGTCATGTGCTGTAGCAACACAATTTAAATACAGTTTAGGTTGCTGTGTCATGTACTTAGAGATTCTATTCCCTTTTTTATTCACAACACTTTCTAGGAAGTAGAGTAGCATTATATAAAAAGCCTCATCATCTATTTCCTGAGCAGGCATCGTGGCCAGTCTGTTGGTGAAGACTGGGTATTAAACAGATATGCCTTATTCTCCAAGCACCTACTGTTTCAGTTCTCCTTTGTGGAGGAAGGGAATCATGCTGCTTATTGTTTTAATGGAGTTTCTGGTATATTTTGCTGTAGCACTCGAGACTTCTGAAGTTCACAGCAGTGCAGTGTAAAGACAGTGACTTAATTCTAAATATAGTGGCTCCTGCCAGTATCTAGTCAGTTTACTATGTAAAAATTGATTATAAAGTTTTATTTCTGAGCCACAGAAGAGGGTGGCAATGTAATTCAGGGTCTTAAAAATCCAGCAGCTTGGTTTCTTTTTAATATATCATTGATTTTTAGTACTACTCAGATTTAACTCAGTGTTAACACACAACAGGTGTTTGGAAGGGGTCACATTATAAGCTAAAACATATAATTAGAAAATTGCAAAAATCAAGTTAAATCATAATTTTGGACTAAGGTTACAACCTGATGGTTGGCAAGTAAAAATGTTTTTAAATTCAAAATGTTCTTCAACACTGACACTTATGCATATATGTTGATACAGAATTCACAATATTGGTGTAATTGCTTCTGAAACATCTGTAACAGTGTCTAGCAGATTCTTGTTGGGTAAGCTTTTGTTAATTCTAGACTAGTTCTTTGACATCTGCAGATCTGAATTTTAATGGTCATACTTACTGAAGAGATCTGTTAAACAGACTTCCAGCTTCCATAAACTAGCCTGAGAGAATCATATCTGTCAAGATGAAAAGGTCTTAAATATGGTACCTTCAATCCTTGTTAAATATTATGGAAATATACAGAATTTCTAGACCTTTCATATGGTGGATTATAGGTGCCTCCTTCTGTCTGAATATAATCTGTTGACTTTCTTTGCTCAAAGGAAAGAAAAATGTTTAATTTTACAAAAGTAAAATCAAAGCATTGAAAGATATTTCGGTGTCTGCTTAATTCCAGTGACTGAGTAGCTTTAGACTACCCAGATATTTTACAGGCCTTGGAATTGTTGAAATGAAAGATTTTTAAATTGTTTTCAGCTTTTCATGGACTACTGTGTGAAGTGCTATGATCTTTTCATGCAAGGGAGAGATACCTTTGAAGAGTTGGATGCTGAAGTGCAGTCAAAATTAAGTAAGTTTTTGAGTTTTAATTAAGTATTCAATTGTGTTACTGGTTTTTCTCCTAACATCAGTTTGTTTGGTTTACAAGTGGAAGTGATCTAAGGGAATCTCGAATTCCTAAGTACGTTTTGGTTACTTCAACTTTTAATGCTCTCTTTTTTATATATTTTTTACCAGTACAGATGGATAGGTCATGATCTGCTATCGGCTGTAGCTGTGTCACCTGTTTTTTTAATGGTTTGTCACAGAAAACCAGTGTACAATTCTTCAGATGCAAGCTCCCATTTATGCAGATGACTCTTGTTCATGTCACATTTATGTCTTGCTTATGGCAAAGCTAACAATTAAAAATCAAGAAAAAGCAGGATTATCAGAGGATGCACACCAGATCAGTAAGAAAGTTCATCTTTTGAAAGCTCTGAAAACAGTCTGCAAATTTCAAACTCTGTTGTGAGGGTTCTTGTATATGATTCAGCATGTACCTGTGTTTGTCTTCAGGTGGTGGAAAATTATTAGGTTTTTTTTACTCACTCTCCACCTACAAAAATACAAACAGAATGTGAGAACAAAGAAGAAAAGTGTTTCTTACTTTCTTTGATTTCCTATGAAAAGCCAGACTAAGGTCCCTTTGTTTGCAAACTGGAGCCATCAGTTGGAGAGGAAACAAGCTACCACGCTGTTACTGGATATTAGGAAAAAGTAATCATCCCATTCTTTGGCAAAGCCAAGTGAAGTAAGGGAAAAGATGTCTCAAGAAGCAAGGAAGTGTATGGATAAGAAAGAGGTTGTTAAATAAGTTTGATCTGTTCTAACTTCACAAGGTAGTCTGACTTGTATACTCTCTTGTGGTTTGGGCTGTATGAGAGTTTGGAAACTCTTACCCCTTGGGAGTGACTTTGAAATGTTTTTGTCATGAAGACCGAGAAACTCATTTCTCTTCTTGTTTGTTTTGGGGTTTTTGCCTAGTTGCATTTGAAGGAAGGGTTTTTCTGATAAGTTCTTGGGTTTTTGTAGTTACTTCTTTAGTGTAAAATAATTGTGCAGATAATGGGTGCTTAGTGTGCTGAAGCTTAAGTTCAGATACTCAAAATAGGTGGTGATATTAGTGAGATTAATTTGTAACCCCACTTTCTCTTCTCTCTTACAGAGGATTTATTTAATATAGATGAAGCCCGGATGGAAAGTTTAGAAGCTGAGAACAAAAGACTTCAAGAAGAGATTGCAAGACTAGAAAAAGAGAAGGAAAGCGAACCAGTTAGTAAATTGTGTCTCTGTTTTTATGGTGGAGTTGAACTTTATATTATTGACCATTTCTGAATGAAGATACTTACAATACATAACAAATGGAAAACTATTTTCAGTGCTTTAAGTTTTTAATTAGCCCAGGTTTTTACAGACTTTATACCATTGTAGAACAAGGCTTTTTCTGTGGAGTGTTCAGTGACTATTTGTTTGATAATGTGCAGATGTTTCCAGATAATAAGGTCTTGTATTGACTGAAATATTAATAAAGTACTTGAACCTCTTTTTTTAAATATAAATTTCAAGATTATTTTTTCCAAATGTGTTGGTATGAGGCGTGGGATTCAGTGGTAACAATATATTTTATGGAAAATATTTTGCTTGAAAAACTGGATTCTGCTTTTAATGCATCACGAGCTTAAAAATGGGTTAGTGCCTGTGCAGGTGGCAAATTAAAACTGTTGCTGTGCAAAATGTGCTGGGTTTATTCCTGGCTTTCCATGCCCTAGTTTTATCTGCCTTCCATGTATTATTAGAGTTTAGTTGTGAACTACTGTAGTAAGAATTTTCTAAGTGCAGTGTCTGATGCAAATGAGAGACCTAATGCTGCAATGCAAGAATCTTTTCAGGCTTCTTAGCTGTTATTTTAAAGGTGCTTGACTTGACTCAGCTCTCACAGGGCTAAAAAATTGTTAAAGTTCTTTAGTTTTATACTCGTGCTATTGATATTGACCAATTATTCTACTGTCTTGTCTGGAACATGAAGTCATTATTTTATATTCATCTAAGAGTGGTTGTTCTTCTCATCCATTTCCTAGGATCGTAGAGTAACGCTACGAAAAGTGAAATCATCTCTTGAAGGAGATGTCCAGAAATACCAAGCTTATTTGGCTAGTCTGGAATCTCATGTAGCCGTCCTTGATCAAAAGCTGGAAAGTGTTAACAGTGAAGTTGAGACAGCAGGTAAGGAGGCCTTGATCACAGTCAGGACAGTGTAGCTAGAAATAGTCTTCAAGTTGGAGCTGTTAGCTTGAGGACAGAGGTTGATCCTTCAAGTAGGATGATGCTACAAATAAGCTTTCCAGAATGGATTGCTAATAAAGATACTTTTTGTCTAATAGTTCTTTCATGTCCATTTCACAAATGTTTTGTGAGCTTAGAAATGGAAGTAGAAGCAATGAAGCAGGAGAATGCCCGGCTCCGGCATGTCTTAGATAACCAAAAGTACTCAGCTGTGGACATTGAGAGAGTAAATCACGAGAGAAATGAGCTGCAGCAAACCATTAACAAGCTGACCAAGGAACTGGAAGCAGAAGAACATCTGCTGTGGAATGAAGAGCTAAAATACGCTAGGAATAAAGAGGCGGTATGTGAAAACCACACTACACTCAGAGGTGGCTCTCAATTGTCATCATATAAGCTTCAAATTGGAGTCTTGATAGTTTATTTCCTATATAATCTAACACCACCATATGTGTATCTAACCAGACAAAACTGACAAGAATGGCCTCTGTTTACAATATCACTGCGGGATGTTTCTCTTTTTTCCCCCCCTTTTTTCTGTTTTGCACTTAATGGAATTGTATTCTTTTTTTTCTCTCCAGAAGAGATGTAGCTAGAATATGAATCACTGTCAGCTCTCACTGCTATAGCAGTGATAAGAGCTTTGATAACATTAGCATGCCATTGCTTTGATAACACAAGAAATTTCAGACTAATGTTAATATTTCATAGCAAGAAAGCAAGGCAAAACTATTATTTGAATCAATAGCTTTGCATGCATTTAGGGCTTGATTAGTTCTTTGTGTAGAAGTTGTAACTTCTTTCAAGGGCAAAGTTCAATCCCTTCAAACAGAATGAAAATATGTAGTCCTGTAGGTGATGGGATTTAAAAGCTTCTGCTTTGCCAGTTGGAGAACTAAAGAAAAAAAGTTTCAAATATATTTGGTAGGGTTACCCTTTATCAAGCACTTGTATTAGCTTAAATCCTCCTGTGCAAGTATGAAGTACATAAAACTGGAAAAAAAAAAAACCTGGGTACTTTGTTTGCATATAAATGGCACTCATTAATTAGAAGTTAGAGCATTTAATAAGCTTTTTTTAGAGGCATGCTCAAGTTAGTTATAAGGATGTGTGGCTGTGTGGCATTTCCTGTCAAGATGAATGAGAGAAAAGGCATACTGACCTGATGACTGATCATTGGTTTAGTGTTATTTTCCAGCAAGTTTTTAGTTCCCTGTCAGCTAATTCTCAAAAACTTGAGGCAGGAAGAATTATGGCAGATGAATCTGGAAAACCACAGGTGAAGCTGTTCAGTGTCAGCCACAT